TACCGTCACTCGCCCCCCAGAGGCCCTCTGGAGCTGTCCTCCGGTCCCCGGAGGAACGAAGTAGCACCACACATAGGTCGTCGTCTACGTCTCCTCCTCCTCCTCCTCTTCCTCCCCCTCCTCCTCCCGGACAAGGGCTTACAGGTGATCACCAAGGGTAATGTACTTCAAACCACATGCAGCCTAACCAAATCCCAGCCTCCAACATGTTCTGTCACCAGACGGCCACCCACCCGCACCAGGGGCCTGCACACAACCTGCGTCACTGACCACGCACACAATCCAACACTTAAAATCAACCACTACCCAGGTAAAAAGGCCATGCTGTCGGGCAGCCCAGGGGGCTCAGTGGTTTAGCGCTGCCTTCAGCCCAGGGTGTGACCCCGGGGTCCCAGCATCGAGTTCCACATCGGGCTCCCCGCACGGAGCCTGCTTCTCCCCCTGCCTGTCTCTCCCTCTCTCTCTGTGTGTCTCATGAATAAAAAATTTTTTTAAAAAAGGTCATACTATCAAAATGCTTTCTCTATTCAAAACTTGCTTATCATAAAACACAAAATTTAAAGCTATTTTCACCTTCATACATATATGACCTAGAATTTGGTATTTAGTACTTAATATCTTCCCTGAGTATTTGGGAGTAAAAGCAAATAATGTGTTAACTTTAAAGCAATCATTATTGTTCATCTAATATTTGAAAATTTTGTTAGATGTGGTATTTTGTTTTCTTTAGAAGAAAATAACAAAACTCACATTTGAAGGATAAAGTTATCATTATATGGGAAGAATTAAAGCAAAACAGAAAAAGAAACACTTTGCATTCTCAGATATTTTACCCATGTTGAGCTAATTTCAGAGTTTATTCACACTTATGAATACTGTCAGCTGGGTACAGACTGGAGTCATTGGCCACCCATGGAGGAAGCTTAATGACCAGTGACTGCCTCAACTGTCAGTCCCTTTGTATAGCAATTGAAACAAAACAAAACAAAGCATCAGAAAGGGAGGGCCTCCACCAAAACCACAGAGAAACGGTGGTGCCAGGAGGGAGGAATCTGGACCCTCTGTTAGAGAACAATCCAAATGGGCAGCTCTCCTGTTCCTCTCCAAGGAAGGACAGTTAGTGGATTTAACCTCAGGATTCGTCTTCTTACCATCAAGGCCCCCTGCAGACATGTCCCTGAATGCACAGCCCACATGGCCAGGGTCCGGCTGCGCTGACCGGGGTGCAGGGCCCCAGCCCCCGGGAGTGTGCGCCAACGTACGGGGAGGGAAGGGCAGGCTACCATTCACAGCACGAGCCCTCTTGAAACAGCTCACTTACTCATTATGCTGTCAGGGGACACACACATGAACACAGAAGGATTTCATTATTTTAGATGAAAAGCACTGGATTTCAGTTCTAACTCCTGATGAAGACAGAAATACAGGAAAACAAACTGCCAGTAGCTGAAATTCCTGACGTTCCAAAATATTTCAATTAAACAGTTCTATTATTTCCAAGAAGAGTTTAATTTCCCATTCTTGCTATTAGGAAAACGTGTTACATACAGTACCTAAAATTCATCTTCACGTAACTCGGTGCTCCGGCAGCGAGCCCAACACTCAACAGCCACGCAGCTGCAGCAAGTAATTATGGTATTATGGTAACGTTCCTATCATGATGAAGAGCTTTCACAATACAGTGAAAAACAGAAATGGATCACATCAAGAAGAAAAAACCATGATCTGTCCTTTCTAAACGTTTACAATGCGAACCTTAAACAGAACTTATGTCAAGGAGCTTGCTCTCTCTCCAGCAGAAGCAAGGGCACACAGACTTCAAGGGGACCCATGTGGCTACTGATTCTATCCCTACAGTGAGGCGCCCCACTCAAACTCTCCTTTTACAAAAAGGCACAGAATCCACATAGCAGCACAAGGATAACAACAGTAAGATGAAACGAAAAGGAAAAAATATCTCTCTCCCAGATCCTAGAGAAATCAAATTATAAAACTAGGCCAATAGTCTTGAAACCTATACCCTTACAACTTGCCTTAAAAAAAACCCAACATATGGGGGCACCTGGGTGGCTCAGTCAGTTAAGCGGCTGCCCTCAGTGCAGGTCATGATCTCTGGGTCCTGGGATCCGGCCCCACGTCAGGCTCCCTGCTCAGCAGGGACTTGGCTTCTCCTTCTCCCCCTCCTTGTGTGCTTTTCTCTATCTTTCTCTCTCTCAAATAAGTAAAATCTTTAAAATATAACATACTAAAGAGTATGTGATGAAAAGACGCCCTAGGATAGTAAGCTCTGCACAGTGTGACTCACTTCAGGTCCAAACGAAACATGTTGGCATGTATTTTTAAGGAACACTGCCTCTGCCTAAGCCATGATCCACGGAAAGAACACTCCACCTACGACTCTTCAGGTGACCCCGACAAGTAAGGAACAGAAAAGCTCTTCAGAACAGTGTGCTGAGTTGCGCTTTTAATGTTCAGAAAAAAAAGATGTTAAAAGAACTCAAGGAAGTCACCGTGGAAAACCAAGAGTTAGCTCCCCGACAAGAGGACAGCCCTGCAGGCATAAAAACGAGCTCCAGAGAGAACACTCTGACTTACTTCCTACAGTGACAGGCTCTGCTGGAGGCTGGAAATGCAGCCTCAGGTCCGTGACGGTAGCCATGGCCACCAGGAACACCCGAGGGCAGCAGGGGTGTCTGTCAGGGGGACCAAGGGTTTGAGGGGAGGCAGGAGCCCCTAATATGTTCAAGAAGCCACACAGGTGAGGGATTAAACTGAACACAGCCAAAACCAGCCACTCCTGTGCTCTTGGTTGGGACTTAGGCTCCTGCGTTCTAGTAAAGCAAGCCCTTGTGTGGGTCACTGCCATCACCTGCACAGGGACCATCTTCTGTAGGACTGATGTGTCCTATAAGCTCACACCTGGAGAACCCATGCCAGAGACCCAAAAAAAGCAATCTTTTTTTTACTGACAGGCTCACCTAAAAAACCTTTAAATGTCCCACCTCCTCCTTTTCTGAATTGCAGGATTTCCAGAGACTTCAGCTAACGAAACACAGGAGGACTGCTTGGTACAGATGACACAGGCTGCAGCCCCACCTGCTGACCACGCGGTGCGGGGTCTCTCCACACTGTGGGAGCAGAGGCTGCCCCCCGCTCGCTGCCAGGGCTGGGGGAACAGGACAGACTCAGTCCTCAGGCACAGCCAACAAGCCCCCGGCCAGGCCTTACCAATACCCAGAGGCTTAACAACAGGTAAAACTTCCCCTTCTCTGACACCTACCGCAGGAACTCAGCGCCAAGGGAGAACTTGTTCTTATCCCTGTAACAACACATCAACAAACACGCTAGAGTTTGTCCCAACTCGACTAAGAGAAAACATACAGTCTAAGTAAGACCAGTGCTCGGACACATTCTATTTTTGCTCAGAAGCCCACAGGTCCTCAGCTACAGTGAATGGATGCATCCACTTATATCCTGGGGGATCTGGATGCAAGAGGCCCAGGGGCGGATAGGTTCAGGCCTGCTCTGAGCCACTCCTGACTCCATGAGAAAAACAAACCAGGAGAACCCTTTCATAATCAATTCTGTTCCTAAGTTATACCTCTCCAAAAACAGCCATTGTTTCATATACCCACCAGCTGCTAAACTACCCCCAAAGTCAAATTGACCTGAGAAACATGACAGTCCCTGTCCTATTCCCCCCAATTTCACTTATGCTTGAAACTCCTCAAAACAGAACACCCGGGAGAAGAGAAGTGCAAGCTCCAGGTAGGGCCATGCGTGCCGGGGCCCCATGTCGCTGTGAGTGCCAGTGACAGCACATGGCTCCCCCCCTCCTCTGGACCCAGAGCAACCTCGCCGTAAATGCAGATGAAGGGCAGCTGCTCCTGGCCCACCCCCAGCCCTACAGCTGCCCCTCGAGATTGTCCAGGCTCACCTGACAGGAAGCCATCCCCTCCGTGGCCGAGACCTATGAAAGAGGGACATGGCAAGAGCCACCCTGGATAAACCACTGAGAACTAGAGATCTTCTCTTCTGGGGCTATGGTTATTCTAGCTGGTAGGAAAAAAAACACGATTAAATAGCCATGGAAGCTCTCTGAACACACTGAGATTTCAACATGTGCTGGCTACTGCCTACCAACAACACCACAGTGCACCTCAGACGCAAGACGCAAGCTTCTTAAAATCTCTGTCTGGTTTCCTTGTGAACATTCTTTAACTCTAAACGTTGAACCTTAGTATTCTAATGTCAAACACATAAAGCAGATTTATTTACTGCTTCCTATGAAGGAATGAAGAAAATCTGTATTTTCAAGCAGCCAAATAAGCAAGTATTCAGTCATTAAGAAGTGTTTACTGGACATGCGGGAGCTCTTCTGGTCATGCAGACACTCAAGCAGGACAGGCACTGCCAGAGAGAAGCAGGGGTGTGGTGGCATGGGGAGCAGGTGACAAGACACATTCAGGAGGTAGGACAGGACAGCAGTCCTGCTCATGGAGCGGGTGGGGCATGGAGGGGTGGGGGGGATGGGGACATCCATGGGACGAGTCACTGGAAAGGTGGTCATGTAATTTATCAGTAATGGACACACCGGGAGAAAAGTTTTTGGAAGGAAATAAGAGCTCTGTTAAGAAATGATTATGTCTGAGCTGCCCACCAGATGGCCAGGCAGAGGGAGGCACAAGACGAGGGTCGAGGGTGTGTGTGTGTCTTCCCCAGCTCTGGCCAGGCCCTCTCAGCAGAGGACCTGAGTGCCACCACGCCTAGAGCATTTCCTGACTTCCCCCACTGCTCCATTCGGCCATCTCATTCCTTGTGGGAACTTTGGTGAGTTTGTCTTCTAAATGCTTGCAAATATGCAAATGGAGCTAAACATTTAGGAAAAGAATAGCCATTCTGGAAGACAGTGGAGTTGGAAATTAAGAATAAAGTTTTAATATCCACCCACAAAACCTTTTCCACAAATAGAGAGAGATCTCTAAATCACTGTGACTCACTCCGTATGGCCCTGGAAGACATTCACGGAGTGGATGGAAGGGTCCCTGAAATCCCAAAGACGGAAAGTCGTGTCCCGGGAGGAGGTCACCACAAGCCGCTGGGTGGGGTGTGTGCAACAGTGCGTTAGCTCCTGGTCATGCCCTACAACCAAAGACGACAAAAATGCAAGATCATCCACCTGCAGGTAGGTTATAGAGACACAAGAATCACACAATAGTCTTTACGGTCTCTACTGCTAATACTCACTGTGAAAGTAAATGAAGGCAGTGAAAAGAAAGAAATCACTTAAAAATAGCACATGAGGTCACACTGGGACTGGTTCTGCCTCAGGAACTACAAGTCCTTTCAGTCATGCACTCAGAGGGATGAGGAAAAGGAGTGTGAGTGGAACCCACTTCCTGATCCTGACAGTTGGAAAGTCTGGCAAATCTCTTCAAAAGGCTAGGCGTGTGAACAGATTAATTCTCAATTCTTCACTCTCAGAATAACGTCTAATAATATGGTATGTGGAGCCCTTAGTACAATACGATCTTTAATACTCAATGAGGAAATTCACTTACTGACAAATTTGCAAAAACATCTGAGGTGGGCATAATTCTAAGATCTCCCGGTAACCCCCCATCCCTGGTATACACACCCTGGAGGACACCTTGCCTTGGTTTGGGCAGAACCTGTAAATGTGACGAGATTTCACTCTGGTAAGCTCAGGACATTAAAAGGAAAACAGATTTTGCAGGTATAATTGAGACCTCCAAACCAGGTGGCTTTAAGTTACTCAAAAGAAACTGCCCTGGGTGGGCCTGACCTACTCAGGCAGGCCCCTTAAAAGAGATGTTCTCCAGTAATCCAGAAGACAGCACACAATTATGTGGGAAACACCTCTGGAGGGCGCCACAGGGACCTGAGGGCACCTCTGGATGCTCACAGTGGTCCCCAGCTGACAGGCAGCAAGGAAATAAGGACCTCAGCCTCACGCCACAACAAAATGAGTCCTTCCAACAACAGTAGTAAGAGGACAGGCCCAACCCTCAGATGAATCCCCAGCCCCAGGCAACACCACTTCGTCCACAAGGGCCAACGAGCATATCTGCCTAGAACTCCTGACCTAGGGAGTTTAAAATCCATGAAGTTTTAAATCCATGTTATTTTAAGGCACTTTTCTGGAAATCTGCTAAAAAGTAATAGGGAGCTAACAGACCGCCCTTTTTCAAATATCTAGATACTACTACATGCTATGATGAAATCCCCTCAAGATAAATGTAGCTAACCAACAGCTCTCCAATGTAAAAAGGATTCTTGAAAAATCACAACCTGAATAGCATGGGAACTAAAGATAATTCTGGATAAGGAGCAACTTGCAAGGTAAGATATAAACATATGCACATAAATCAAAATACACAACTGGAAAACACAAACATTTCTAGTACCTGTCAGAGAGTGAACAAGTTCTGCTGTCTCCACGTCGAACAGATTCGCCGTCCTGTCCCAGGAGGCCGTCACCACCTGCTTCCCCCCAACCAGCCAGTCAGCAGCTATGACCACTCCCTGGTGGCTCTTAAGAGAGGTGAGTGGCACCCGGATGGTAGGACAGTCGCTCGACACGTCTGCGTCTACATCAGGCTCGTCTTTATCAGAGCACTCTACTTCGTCTTCGCCACATATCTGCTGCTGATGGTGAGAGCAAAGAAGAAATTCCCTGGGAATCTGGAGTCTTTTCGGACACAGCTACACAATCAAACTGTTATCATTTGAGTTTACAGGACTTGATCTTGTGGCCAATACCAGCACAGCATCCGCTGCGTAACTGGAGCTCACTATCGGCTTCATGATCATCTACTTGCCTGGATCCCATGACCAAGTAGAAGAAGAAAAAAAACTAAGGCCACTATGACATCAAATGAGCTCCAGTCCATTTCCACTAACCACTAAAACAGCAAATAAAATGATTACAAGTATTCACCACATATTAGTAGAAATGTAATAAAATATCATTCAGAGTCAGTAATTCATCACAATAAGAAAAATATTTCAGTTCTCAGGAGGTACTTAGAATTCTATTGCTATAGGAATATATACAAGAGTTCACTTTTATTTTCCTACAATAACAAGAAGGTATCTTGTTAAAAGCTAAAATGAAAACATAAAGGCTTCAGCTCTTTAAGGAAATATGTTCACCTATTCATTCAACAAATATTTACCAGGCGCTTACACACTGCCAGGCCACATGGCGGTCTCACAGCACGGGAGGGAGATGACCACCGTCTGACGCAGACATACCGAACAACGCACGGGCCAGGTGAGGAGAGATTGGAGCCAGAGACTGGCAATGTCCTCCTTTCATGGAGCTTACACACTAGCAAGGAAGACAGACCACACACAAGCCTGTACGCACACACACTAGTGTGGTCACGTATGTCACACAGTAAGACACACATAGTACAGAGAAGTAATTCCCATGTACATGCACAGTGCAGAGATACAGGCCACATGTACACGTCAAATAGGAACACGTCACACGTACACAGTGCAGGGATATAGGGCACACGTACGCACACACGGTATAAAGGTATGTCATACGTATACTCAGTCAGTAATAGGTGCTAATAAGGAAAACAGCGGATGAAGGGATGGACAGTCATAGGCTGCTATCTGATACAAAATTATCAGGAAGAGACTCTCTGCTAGAGTAACACTTGGGTTGGGACATGAAGGAAGCAAGGGAGTGAGGCACACAAACATCAAGGGAACAGCATTCTCAGCCGAGGAATAGCAGGTGCAGAAGCCCCAAGAAGGAAGCCGACTGGGAGCCACAAGAACAAGGCCATGGCAGCAGAGGTGGGAGCAGTGAAGTTAGAGATGCACGCCAACAAGACTCAAGAGAGAGAAGGTGGGAGAAACACAGATGTGGACCAAGGTCATAGCATCCAATATGAGTAGGGACTCCCAGGATAGAGCCCGGCAAGGTGGGAGGATGCTGATGAGCAGGCCCCGCAGCAGCAGGGAGCAGCAGAGAGCAGCAGCCCAGAGGACCGTGCTGAGAGCATGAACGGTCGGTCCAAGGTCTGCACAGGAAACGGGGGGGGGGGGGGGGGGGGGACAACACAGATGACACTGCACGGGGTCTGAGAACTGGCTGGAAGGATCTGGACGAGAGACAGGCAGGGAGGTGGAAATCCTTGAGAAGCCTGGGCAGCATGCTGGGAGTGCACAGCTCAGGACACTCACAGGTCAGGTGCAGGGAGCAGAGGAAAGGCCTGGTGGAAACAGGTGGGATTTCTCCAGGGAGACAGGGACTCACAATCTAGTAGTAAAGTTAGACACACGTAAGTATGCACAGTTACCAATTTCAAAGTGCACTAAAGACTACAAAGCAAAATGCAGGGCGCAGTGCGTCAGGCAGGTGGTGTGCAGCTGAGCAGGACTGCAGTGTGGACAGCGTAAGGGGGTGAGCACATAGCACATAGAAGGGGCCAAGCAGGCCCACGGAGTGAAGAGCACAGCAAGACCAAGAGCACAGCCAGGGAGAGTCACACTAAGGCCAGGGGCTGGCAAAGGGCTCCCCAAGGTGACCAGTGCCACTCCAGAGAGACCCCTCCTGACATCATGCAGAGAGAAGACGATGTGGGCAGCCAGGCCTGAGACAGGGAACCAGTCAGGGGTGGGGACTGGAGATGATGACAGCTAGGGCTTAACAGCACCTGCCCGGAAGACGAAGACAGGTCCCAGCACTGTAACCTGCTCGAGGTGAGAGGGGCCTGACTGCTGACCACATCCAGACGGGAGAAGCAACACGGTCACTAGAAATCCCACAGGAGGAGGCCCCAATTCCTGGGCCACACAGCTTCTCAGCTCCCAGAGACCCTCGCTGCCCCCAGCAGGCAGGGGTGGTGTGGACAGTGCCTCGGGCAGGTGCAGAAGAGGGGTGCTGGGTGGGCGGCAGCTCAACAGGCATCGCTGGGTGCGTGTTACAGGAGGGGTATCCCGGGGCCAGAGAGGAGTGCATCCAAGAATTATGTAAGAACCAGAAGCAGTGAAATGTGACCGACCAGTGGAAATGAAAGACAAGAAGGGAAAGAAGAGACCTATCAAAGATAATCCCAAACGTCCTCAGAGTTTTGTTCACTGTTACCCAGATGTGCAGCAGTGCACCTACGGGGCGGTTCCGAGTGACAAGGAAGCGTGAACATGGGGATGCCCTCAGAGTGGATCCAGGGGAGAGACCCCAGGTGCCGAAACAGATGCCAAGAACAAGGAAGAGTGGCCTGAGCTCCCATTTTAGAACGCCCCACCTGTCACAATCCACGGTGGAAAGGTCGGAGTCAGAACCTTGACACAAGTCATTTTTCCAAACTACACAAGGAACTAAAAGATATTTTAAATGCAAATGTGCTAAATCCTATTCACAAGTAACCGTGAGATCTTTTAACACTAACGTGGCAAAGGGCAGGGGAAGGAGAAGAGCTGTTTGTGTGCTCTCTGCCCACATCCTGGGGATAATCGATGTCACGTTAGCCGCTTCTAATGCCAGCAACGTCGGAACGGGAAGTACAGCACCGAGTGCTAGCAGTGCCCAGAACGAAGGAGTCACCGAATCTCTCACGGAATCCAGGCTCCCGGGCAGGAAGAGCCTCTGGAAGCCACTCGGGTAACTCGCTTCGATTTTCACTTCCCAACAGGAAAAATTAAGCCACTCGCTATATTAAGATAGTCAAGTCACACAAGGCTGTCACACAGTGAGTTAACAAGTCATCTGTAAGGCTTCCAGACACCGCCCAAGCACCTCCTTACCGATGTGGTGAACACCAAGGAAAACTCCCTGGTACATATTAACAAGCGAAAACATACGGGCACCTGGCAACTCAGCCGGAGAAGCGTCTGCCTTCAGCCCAGGTCATGATCCCAGGGTCCCGGGGTCAAGTCCAGTGTCGGGCTCCAGGTTCACTGCTTCTCCCTCTCCCTCTATCTCTCCCACCCACCTGTGCTCTCGCTTACACTCTCTCTCGAATAAATTTAAAATCTTTAAAAAAATAGAAAAGGAGAAAACATCTGTCTAAGCTGTACTGCTGAAAATAAAATCTTTGCAGATGAGTATCTGTTCTAACATGTGGGAGAAGCAGTAAGGAAACGTGAACCACGACTAGCAGCAAATGCTGCAGACTAGCACAGTGAGCGTGCTGGGGGTGGCGTGGAGGGCAGGCCCCGGGGGCCTTCCAAGGCTCTGCCGAGGCTCTGCTCCCTGCCGGACGCAGGCTCAGCTCCATTCAGGTTACCCCCAAGCCTGAGGCAGCCCGACACGAGCAAAATCATAAAGAAAAAAAAATCAATTTAACACTGTAAATAATCTACTTGGTGGTTTTTTTTTTAGATTCTATTTTTATTTATTCATGAGACACAGAGAGGCAGAGAGAGAGGTAGAGACACAGGCAGAGGGAGAAGCAGGATCCATGCGGGGAGCCCGACGCAGAACTCGATCCCGGGACCCCGGGGGTCAGGCCCTGGGCTGAAGGCGGCGCTGAACCGCTGAGCCACCCGGACTGCCCTCTACTTGGTCTACTTGGTTTTCATCAAAGTACCGGACATAATTCCCTACCTCTGCCAGAACTGGCATGTTTCTTTCTTTCTTTGAAAACAAATCCACAGCCAGCTAACGCCTTCCTTCTCTGAACCCTCTGAGGGGACCCTGGCCTCCCCTCTACCCTGTCCTTTGTCAGCAGTACTTCCTGAGTGAACGCCTACGTTAAGCGACGAAGTCTTAAGCGACTAAAGGCTAAGTTAAGAATAAGTCTGATTATTCCATAATGAGAGAACGTGTTGCGATAAAGATGCACTCAATTAAAAATGAACTGTTCACACTTCTTCACTAAAGAAAACTCTTACCACTGGAATTTATTAATTAGTCCATCTCCAGAGAGAACGATGTTTAAACTGCTTTAAAAAAAAAAAAAAATGGGGGCACCTGTGTGGTTCAGTCAGTTGAGCGACTGACTCTTGATTTTGGCGCAGGCCATGATCACCAGGTCCTGGGATCGAGCCCCATGTTGGGCTCTGAGCTCAGTGGGGTGTCTGCTTGAGTGTCCCTCTCCCTCTCCCACTGCCCCCCACTCGCTCATGCTCTCTCTCAAATAAAAAAATAAATACTGGGCAGCCCGGGTGGCTCAGCGGTCTAGCCGCCTTCAGCTCAGCACGGGATCCTGGAGTCCCGGGATCGAGTCCCACAGCGGGCTCCCTGCAGGGAGCCTGCTTCTCCCTCTGCCTGTGTTTCTGCCTCTCTCTGTGTCTCTCATGAATAAATAAGTAAAATCTTTAATAAATAAATAAACCCTTAAAAAAAATTACAATTGAATGTAAAGACATGCCATCCTCCCGTCCGACTACGGCCTGAGCACACAGGCCAGCTCCTCCTGCGCTCAGGTGCCTGGTGGGTCTCCACCCATGTTCGCAGCACAGGACAGGCTAACCGCTTGGGAAGACCAGACAGCAGAACACTGCCCAGCAGGGGAAACCGGGGAGGGGTCTCCCTCGGGAGGCCGCCCGAGGTCTCCGTGTGGCCACAAACACAGGGTGCTGGGCTGAGGGGAACAGCTGCACCCGACAGGACAAAGCTCAGCCAAGGCTCTGCGGTTTAAGCCTCAGTACGCAACCTCTCCCTAACTGCAGCAAAACCTCACGATAATCACACAAACGGACTTACACGGTTTACCTTACCAACAGAAACATGACCTAAGGATACAACTTTTAAATATTAATGGCAAATGTTTAGTATTTGAGGAAAGTGGGGTGAGAACAAACAATGCACATGTAAATGAAAGCCCCACGTTTTCAACACCATCTTGGCCTGTGTGGACACGGGGTGCCCGTGATGGAGGCACGGCCAGTTCGGTTTCCAGTGAGGGCCTTCCTGGATTATCTATATGTCCTCCCACGGCTGCCACACAAGCTCTCTGTGTCTGTAAGGACACTAATCCCATGGAACCAAGGCCCCAGCCTCAGGACCTTATTACCACCTCCTTAGAGGCCCATCTCCAAATACAGCCACACTGGCAGGTTAGGGCATCCAACTGTGGGATGAGGGGGCAGGGGGGTCACATACATCCAATCCACAAGGTACTACAGATTTATCCTAAGCTTTGCAAGTGTCCAGAACCCAACCAACATACCCCGTGTCGCGCTTTCAGGGTAAGTAAAGGTGCTGCTTACAGTAGTGTCGGCAATGGGCTGGGGTGTCGGCAGCTGGACAGCGTAACTCCAAATGTGGGCGGTCTGATCTCCAGAAGCTGAGGACAGAAATGAGGGGACAATTACGCAAGGTGCACACATGTAAAACGTGCTTTCTGCTAGGCTCTGTCACTCCGGGATCCTGAGCCACTGACAGGAGGTTCAGTGTATGATTAAGACAGTGGTTAAAAATATCCCCCCGGGCAGCCCGGGTGGCTCAGTGGTTTAGGGCCTGCCTTTAGCCCAGGGCATTACTCCGGGGTCCTGGGATCGAGTCCCACATCGGGGGATCGAGTCCCACATCGGGCTCCCTGCATGGAGCCTGCTTCTCCCTCTGCCTGTGTCTCTGTCCCTCTCGCTCTCTCTGGTCTCTCATGAATAAATAAACAAAATCTTTAAAAAAATATATCCCCTCTTTCATTTTGCGGTAAAAAGCTACGAAGGGCCAAGCAAAATTTACACCTACATTTTATCCACCATCTATCTAACCTCAGGACTCTAGTAACCCATCACACGCTACGCTGCAGCTTCTGACCGTAAGGGTTCCGAGGCGTTCCCGTGCAAGTGTGTGTTCCCTCCGTTCCATACGGATGGGCTCACCACCTGCCGGGCCCCCGTGAGTGCTGAGACCTTACCTGCCCCCACCAAGCGTGCAAGGTGCCGCTAAGACGGGGCCGAAAGACAGGGCAGTGAGGGCACACACCGGCCCACGGACAGGCCAGACAGGTATCTACACTCACCCTCACCGGGTACCTGCATCCCACCCCTCACCGGGTACCTGCATCCCACTCCTCTCCGTGGCTGCCGATGTCCCCCAAAGCAGCCTGTGTGGGTGGTGCACATATCCTGTGCTGTCACGGGAGCTCCCCGGCTGACCTCACGCAAACCCCCGTCGTGCAGGCCTCTCTCCAGCGCCATGTGCTCTGCTTCGGTTTCCAGCAGCTCTTCTCAAGTGTCTTCATCTCCTCCCCGCCCCACCTCTGCTAGTCACTGGTCTCCCTCTTCACGGTCACACACCCAACAATTTCATAAGGTGGACAGTCCCCCTTACTTTATTCCCCAATTGTTCATTCAGGCATCAACTAGCTGTGGCCGAGGCCTGTTCACGCAGGGGGCTCCCAAAGTGACTTTCCCACCACACTCTGCTCCCATGGAAAAGCACCTGATCAGCCCCACGTTCATCCTCTGGCCTCTATCCCACGGGCCAAAGCCAGGCAGGCTTTGCTATCCACCATGAGGATACGGCTGGCTGCCCACAGCCGTGGCTGCTCACCCAGGCACCACCTCTGCCACTCTCACACTAACACAGACTTGTACTTGTACTTGTGACAGACCATGTGGCCATGTGACTTGTGACAGACCATGTGGCCCTCAAAAATAAGAACATTTACTTCTGGTCCTTCACAAAAAAGCTTGCTAACTTCCACTCTCTCCAAACATTTAACCATTTAACCTTCAAGATCACTGCCAGGGTCCCCAAAAGTCACAGGAGACTATGTGTCTCAGACTCCTCAGCCCAACAATGAAAGTGTTTTTAAAAACTACTATATCAGAAAGGGACACAGAACATAAAGACTTCTAACTCTGGGAAATGAACTAGGGGTAGTGGAAGGGGAGGACGGCGGGGGGTGGGGGTGAATGGGTGATGGGCACGGAGGGGGACACTTGACGGGATGAGCACTGGGTGTTATTCTGTATGTTGGTAAATTGAACACCAATAAAAATTAATTTATAAAAAAAAAAAAGAAAAAAAAAACTACTATATAAAATGGTAGCAAACCCACACTCCCACAGCCCAGGAGCCCTACTCAGAAAGGAGTAAAAACACTGGCCCCGCAGATCACCAGGACCTGGGCCACTATTTTCCCCCTCTCGGTTTCAGGTATGTACAGGATTAGGAACTCGGCAGCAGTGACAGGGCTGCGGAGAACCCAGTGCCCTCGGCGGAGAAACACCCAGGGCGAGCAGGAAAGCGGGCAACCAGGATGGGTGTCATAGAGGACCTCCCAGAGAGTCACCTGCACTCTTACAGGAGCTCATCTAACTCACGATCCATGATGGTTTTAAAAAGTTCTACTTGATGTGCTTTTCTTTCTCCATTTCTCAAGTTTCACACAAAACAGCTACTGATGACCTTGTGACTTTTGTGTAAGGCACCAGTGAGAGGCAGCTCTTTCAAGATCATCAATAACTTTGCTCAAAAAGGAAAAAAAAAGAAAAAATCAACATACCAGTAAGAGCCAACTGCTCTGAAGGATGAAACTTTATAGAATTTACTGCAAAAAAAAAAAGAAAGAAATTACAAAAACAGGTTTAAAATACTTATCACCACTACAGCATGTATCACAAGAAAACTTTAAAAGAATTATAATAGTTCAATATTAGATCCATTCAATTAGGCAACGAATAAACACATTAGAGACTAGAGACACAAAAACACAACTGAATATAAACTATCATGTCAACAAAGTACAGACCACAAAGAAGAATACGAATAATCTACTTCTTTTCATAGATAAAGAAACCATCTAGAGTTAAAATACTTCAGGATGAAACAGAAACCACACTTAGACGACATATGGACAAGGAATACAGCAGGCGCAGGGTGACAGCCCACCCTTCCTCCTGTCCCGTTCAAGGAGCCCCCAGGAACGGAGAAGGCAGGCCCCTGCCAGCTCGGGGCAGGTCAGGATCAGAGCGGATAGCGTCCTCCTCCAGGTGTGGTAATCTGCCCACCATCTTCCCAGGGGGTGCTCCTGCGCTGGATTGCATGATGGAGGAGGGAGTGCAGGGACAAGACAGCAGCAGGAGCACACAGAGGCTGGGGCAGGTGGAGGCTGGGGGCACACGGAGGCCAGAGGGCACATGGCGGCCGGGGGCACATGGAGGCTGTGGGGCACACGGAAGCCGGGGACATGCAGAGGCTGGGGGGCAGGCAGAGGCCAGGGAACGCAGAGGCTGGGGGGCACGCGAAGGGAGGCCAGGGGCACCCGGAGGACGAGGGCACCCGGAGGACGAGGGCACATGGAGGCCGGGGGCACGCGGAGGCTGGGGGCCTAGTCGCTGGGACCTCCCTGCCCCCAGTGAGCTCATCCTGGGGAACCGGCAACCCTGTCTCCCAGTCACCCCGACAGAGCTGACCTGGATCAGGGCACGGGGGGCATCAGCCATCACACCCACACAGGAGCACGTGCACGGTGTGCAAAAGAATACACAGGAGTTTCAGCAAACCGGAGCAAGGGCTTTCTGGAAGATTCAGCCAACTACATCACTGGGATTCTATTTTTCTGAGGAACTGGAAATGCTAGAAGACACCCTATTAACTCTAGACGACAGATCACTATGGAAAGAGCCAGTGGCAGCTGTGCCTAAACTACCAACGGCCATGTGGAGTAACGCCCCAGTGTCAAGGGGCAACTGTAAGATCAGCAGCCACTTTGCACCTTTACGTCTATGTGACCTGGAACTCATTCCTGGTGACGCGGGGCACAGACACAGCTTCTCTCACAGGCCCCATGAGGTATGCGTGAAAGAACATGTGCTGAGTGCTCAGCCAAGAACTGGCATACAGCAGGCGCTTAATGACTGTTCGCAGCTGCCATGCTGGCTATATTTAGCACTGTTTACACCGGCATAATACATGACACCTAGCACGGATCTCACTGAGGGACAGTGCCACTGAATGGGTGCGGGACTGGAGACAAGCTCAGGAGCCACGGGCAGCGGGCGGGCTGGAGCTACGCCGCCCCCCAGTCAGCACATCGTGGCTAATGCAGAAGAGGACAGGGAGCCCCGCAAGCACCCTCGTCAAAGACTGGCGGCAGCCCCCACACGCAGCTAGCTCAACTCCCAGGGGCCAGCCCGGGAGCAGACACGTGGTCTCCACAGGGAGCTTCGAAGACACCCGATCCGTACATGGTTTGTGTGCTGACTTTAACACAAACGTCAGAGGAATAGCACACGGAGAAAGGACAAGCTCCTGCACGGAGGCCTCCAGGTGGGTGCGGCGGCTCCAGCAGGGGCAGCTGCGCAGCTCAGCATGGGACCCTTGAGGCAGAGGGCAGGTGCACAGGAGACCCGCACGCGAGGAACCAGCCAGGACGGACATGTGTCGCACCACCTACAGTGAGTCACACGGATGAGAAATCCCAGGGGGCAGAACTCCACCCTTTAGTTTCAAGGGACCCTCCAGTGGGGAAAGCAAAAGCCAGGACACAAGCGACACACACACAGTGCCCTGGAGGACAGCGGCCGCAGAGGAAGGGAAGGCCAGACACACCGGCGTCCCACTGCATGTTACCCGGCCTCACCAAACCCAGGGCAGTGCTGCACCCCATCTGCTGGCACAGAAGGAACGTGGAAGGGACACATGTAGGACACCCCGGAAGAGCTGGGGGTCAAAGCTGCCAGCAGAAGGGGAGGTTCCAAAGAAGGGAGAAGAGCAACAACTAGGGAACAGAGATGTTGCGCTGAGTCTGGCCACGGGCAAGGAATGTCACACGAGGGGTGGAGCACAGGGATAAGTCTGGGATACACAGAAACCAGCCAAATAAAAAGGCAATGGCAAGTAGAGCACGTACGTGGACAGCTGTGAACAATACACACGTCGCCATAATTAGATAAATCTGAGTATCCGTTTGACAATGCGTCACGCTGTAGCTACTTGGCGAGGACAAGAGTGGAGGGTGACATATGTGGCAAGGGAGCAGGTCAGGTCCTCGGTGCCTCAGGAAGAATCACTCGTCTAAAGCTCAAAAATTCAGAAATAATAAAACAGGCTATTCAGAAAAATGGAAGAAGAAAGCAGAATACATGAAGCTGTTAAAATGGCTCCGTGTTGGGCAAGTGGAGTAAGGAGGCAGGGGACTGCGGTCATACTTTACAGGCGGCCAAACATCCACTTCATTCGTAGGCGACGTGTACATGTTTCACCGTATACAGGTCTTTCGAGGAACAAGCACGCGGCAAGGAGACAAAGGCTGCAGCACACGCTCACTTGAGCACCGCCTCCACCTGTCCAGGCGCAGTCCTGCGGCCACCAGAAGAGACTCCGTGTGGAAGGACACGAGACCCCGACGGAGGGGTGTGGCTCACAGCCCCAACAGGACAACCGATACGCCCCCGCTGCTCGAAGGGGGCTCACCCAGGCCCGCAGGTGGGGGCACACCGAGCTGTGGGGCGAAGCCAGGCACCCCCTGGACCTGTCTGCTGTGTGGGGGGAGAAGGAGCCGGGAGGCAGCACACAGGCTGGCGTGGAGGGCCCCCAGAGGGCAGTGTGCAAGATGCAGGAAGGGGCCCCTGCAGGGGGCACTCAGGAGGCAGGAAAAGCTGCTGTGCCTGCTGCAGCAGGAAATGCAGGCAGGAAGCCCAGCGAGGACAGCAGCCCCTCGGGGCCCCACTACACGCAAAGCCGCATCAGGCTGTAAAGGAACCTCTGAAATGAACACACGGCCTTTGACAAACATGTATTTCAGTTCCAAACTCGCTGACCTGGGGCTTTCTAGGCAACGGTAAAGGCAACGCACACCAAGTCCTACCTGCGGTCAGGGCGGCTCACACTGCTCCAGGCACAGCACCTCCCTGACCACCCACCACGGACCCACCTGCCCCCGCAACCAGATCAGCACACTTCCCATCAGAAGACACCGCCCGCTCAGGGTTGCTCACCTGACCCCACGTGGCCCGAGTACTTGACCAGGCACCTCCCCGTCTCTATACTCCACAGCAGAGCCGTGTGATCTGCAAGATCCAAAGAACAAGAGTAACTGACCCATCACCAACTTTATGGCCATTTCAATAAAAGGGAGAAGTTACATTTTCACTAGCATCTCTTCTACACTAATCTATAATTAACTAATCAAACCATTTCCGAGGAGACAGAAGTTTGTGACCTGTCAACTGAGGCCAGGGATGTAGTAAATAGAAAACCAAGGACTTGGGACTCCCAGCACCTTGTCACACTGACTGCATCTCGCCTGAGTCCCTACAGGACAAGACTGTTGTTTTGTTGAATTAACACTTTCCAAAGTATCACGGAACAATGAAATGCAAACCCAAATTCAGTTACGAATTATTTAAAATAAGAATATTCTTTTGGGCCTTTCTTCTCATATAACAGGAAAATCTGGGAAATAAATGCAAATGATCCAAACAGGATTTCTGAGATAGGGGTGCCTGGGTGGCTCAGTTGGTGAAGCATCTGCCTTCAGCTCAGGCCATGATCCCAGTGTCCTGGGATGAAACCCCACATCAGGCTTGTGCTCTGTGTGTTAAATAAATAAAATCTTTAAAGAAAAAAAATTCTGGGACCAAAAAGGACTCTTTCTCATTTAATTGTAATTTCCAAACATGGTGAAATGCTCGTGTGTAAATATAATTTTAAACAAGAAAAAGAACTTTCTTCATGGTTCTAACTGCTGCAACATTTTCTACTTCTTTAAAAAGCAGAACCAGGGATCCCTGGGTGGTTCAGCAGTTTAGCATCTGCCTTCGGCTTAGGTCATGACCCTGGGGTCCCTGGATCAAGTGCCTCGTCGGGCTCCATGCATGGAGCCTGCTTCTCCCTCTGCCTGTGTCCCTGCCTCTCTCTGTGTCTCTCATGAATAAATGAATAAAAAATAAACAAAAATCTTAAAAAATAAAAAGCAGAACCTAGTAACTTCTCACAAGGTAGAAAGGTCATTTTCAACAAGTGAGCACCATTTTTAACTTTAGCAATTTTAATCTGAAAGAGTATTAGGTTATACACCTTGGATAGCTTTCAAAAAAACATCTTTAATGAGAAAAAAAGGATTTCTGATGCCTGCCCTGGGAGTCCCATAGGCAAACAGGGCTACCAGGGGTCCTGCTTCCACTTAAATCCTAGAACGAGACCACACGGCCCCTCCCTCGGCCGTGCCTCACAATTCAAGCAGATACGCACTCAACTGGGAGTAACAAGAAAGCCAATCAAAAAACTACCTGGTCTGTGTAAACGACATTCTCCCTTACGCTGCCGAGAACAGTACTCTGACCTAATGCCAGTGTCTGCTCACGCCGACACACGACATCACACCAGCGGACTGCAGCGACACCCGCGGAGCACGCAGGGCCACGTGCTTTGGTTTCAATGACTGTTAGGCCTCCTGCCCGCGTCCAGAGCCAACGCTGCCACCAACATGGGCAGGTCAGGTGTCTGCACTGGCTATTGTGCCCGAAGTAGAGGGAGTAGCTGCGGACTCACCAGCAGACGCAGTGCCCAGCACCACGGGCTGTGTCCTCGCCACGCTGACGTCCCAGATGCCATCCCTGTGGCCAATGTATTCCTTCACAAGCTGGCACACGGCCCTCGACGTGGTGGTCTTGAAGCTGGAGACGATCTAAAACCGTGACGGGAAGGAGTATTATAGACAATTTACTGACCAAATGCATTTAAGTTTAAAAAAAAAAAAAAAGGTAAAACTGAGTAAGAGCTCTTGAACTGCGTAAGCCTCTGAACGGGCTATTTCAAGCATTAAGGGAACACACCGTAAGTGTAAGCAGCAGCATCCCTCCAGCTGGGTGTCACAAAGGAAGAACGAAGGCCATCCTAAGGCCTCGGAAGACCCTGACACCCCTGGCAAATCACGTGTGTCCTCCCACGGAGAAGAGAAGGGTCTGTTTACACGCTGCAAGGCTCTTCTACAAATCCAAACCATCAGCCAAATTTCCAGATTCTTTTTTTTAAAAAAAAAAAAAAAAAAAAAAGAGCTGCCAGGACATGAAAGTTGGGAAGTTATACACACACCCTTAAAATTGCTTGAATTATTGAGGAATTTTATTTTTTCCCCATTTTTGGTAATTTACACCAACCACATATTATCAGGAGGAAAAGAGCCCAAGGTGGGGAGGAATCCAAAGACGACACTTCTAACAGACAAGGTTTGTCCAATACTGTTTATTGAGCGCGTGCTTGGGGCCGGCACTGCTCTAGGAGACGCACGTGGAGCAACAGCGGCCCCGGCCCCGGGCAGCTCACAGTCCAAAGGGAACAGACAGGAGAACCACAAAGGTACACACGAGGGTGACAATGGTCTCGTATGATACAGCAAACAAATCTCACTTTCTCTTACAAGGAAAAATAGAAAGTGCATGAGAAAGGAAATAATGAAACACAACTCTGCAGAGTTTGGTTTTTAAACTGTTCTCAGACGGAATGGCTTTTCAGCGTTTAAGCAAATCAGAATAAAAGATTAATCAGAATAATAAAACTATAAAATCAAGTGAAAAAGACAACTCTGTGGTATTAAACAGCTATTTTGAACACTGATATAACAAAGCCCAGAAAATCAGTCTAAATTCATTCTTAGGATAAAGACATTACAACACGATCCACTGTTACATCAACTTGGGTGTGAACAATCCAACTGTCCTCTGAAGCCGAGAAGAACTAATACAGCATGTGTAATGAAGACGGACTCTTTCGGCAGAAATTCGTCTGACTCAGTTTGAATTTTATAAAAGGACTTGCTCAAACGCAAACCCATCTTCTTTTTCCTTCCGAAAGCTCCTATCGCATCTAAACTAGTGACACTTGACCCCACAACACAGGACAAGTTCTCTGCTGGTGTAAGGTGCCACCAGGACGTTCAATAACGAAACACGGGAGAGAATGGAGCCCGCCCCACATAAGTCTGAAGCTTCCTGCCCTTTCTCACACAGATGTGGCTGTCCGGAGACATGAGCCACCGCAGCCACACTCCTCGCCAACCCCACGCACGCAGGAACAACAGAACGTCACCACTCAACACTCATGCCAACCCCGAGTCTGGTGGGATTTTGGAACCAGACAATATGCAATTCATTAATGTTGTAACAAATCACTTCATGTGTTGCTTCCAAACGCTCACTACGCTTTGTTCTTAAAAATCCTGACTCCCTCAAGACAGCAGAGGCCCCACAAAGACTGAATCACTCAGAGTGAACGTTCATGACAGAAAAGCAGAATGAAGTGACAAAAGTGATGCTTTCACCTGACGTCCTAGTTATCGTTTTAATTAAGATGCAACCTAAAGCACTTCAACAAAACTGGAAGGGCTTTTTCACAGTGAGAGTGAGTTATCTTTATAAATACGTGTATGACGGACGCCTGGGGGGCTCAGCAGTTGGGCGTCTGCCTTTGGCCCAGGTCAAGATCCCAGGGTCCTGGGATTGAGTCCCGCGTCGGGCTCCCTGCATGGAGCCTGCTTCTCCCTCTGCCTGTGTCTCTGCATCTCTCTGTTGTCTCTCATGAATAAATAAATAAAATCTTTTAAAATAAATAAATAAATAAAAACATGTATGTACATTCCGCAAGTTTCTCTAAAGCAACTGCCACTTAGACAGGCACACCTTCCTCCCGGCAGACATGAGCGGCCCGTCCTCAGGTGCCCAGGAAGGCAGGCCTCTTCTGGTCTGCTGAATGCACGTGGGAGCACCAAGCACCGAGCACACTGCTTGCCGTCGGGGCTGAGTCAGGAAGCAAGTACTGCTGCCTTTAAGTGCATTCCCGCCTCGTGCTACCACCAAGAACACACGCCGCAGCATGGATCAGAGTCCACGGGTCAGACTCTGGTATCAGAGTCCTTCCTCAAGTTTTAGACAACATCTCACAATATTATCCCTTTCTGCACACAATAAAGATCAGTAATAGCATATTTCTTATACATGGACATTAATTTGAAAGATCTAAAATAACTGGGGCTTTAAATATATTGTAATATATTTTTTTTAAAAGCAGAGTATTCTAGTACGTATCCTTCCCTTGGCCCAAATCTTGGTTTTCACTAATGCCAATAAGGGATAACTTTACACACTCCTTGCATCTTCTACTTCAGCAATACCCTAAAGGTCCCCAAATTCTAACACTGTACATTGTATAAATAAGGTGTACCCGGTGGAATGAACAATATACTTCAAAATAACATACCGAGGTCAGATGACGAAGAACATAATCTTACAACACGTTTTGAATAAAAGTTTAATGCTAATACATCTAAAAACTTAAATATAAGCTAAATACATAATAAATTTTTTTAATTAAGCAGTTACTTTAGAGTTATCAAAGGAAACACAAGAAAATGTAATCTACATTCATATTAGAAAATGTAATCTACATTCATATTTTAATAACGAAGAAGTACTAAAAATTTTCAAATCAACAGAAGCAGCCGTAGGACCACATGTGCTCTACTGACTGCAGTTAACCTCACCGTGGACGTCCTGCTCAGTAACTCCAACCCCAAGGAAAACAATGGGAAACGCAGGACGTTACCAAGAACTACTTACGCTGCCACAGCACACTCACCACAAATTTCAACTTTTCCCTCAGGTTTAGCAAAAGGAACGTCCATTTGTTACGGTCATGAATTAATTTATCTTTTGTATATTCAAAACACCCCAAAGTAAAAATGCACACAAAGTTACTGCAAAATATTACCTTACCGCAGAACTCCCTCCTCACAGGTAAACTTGTTTCCAAATAATTAAATCCTTGCCACTTTCAGAGGGTCAGAACAAGATAATTTTTTAAAAACCAAAAATCACAAGTGTCCCTATGAGCCCTGGAGACAGACCTTCAAGAAGATACGATACTTAGAAAACGAGAAAGAGGAGGAGGCTAAACGGGGAAACGTGGCTGTGGCTCAGAAGCACATCTTCGCTGCTTCCCAGCAGCACATTCTCCACACGCAGAGCCTCTGCCCCAAGCCACAGAACAACGCAAAATGTCTCTTCCCTCAAAAAAGACAACACGTTTGACCTTCAGCAAGTACCCGGGCGGAGCAGCGGGCTGGTGTGCACACCCAGGGTACTCCCTGCAAAAGCCCAGCGTCTCTACACACCAGAAGCTCCTCTTTGCCGGTTACATATTTCTAACTGGAAAATGTGCAGCTTCAAGTACACGTCGGCGCAGCGCAAATACCACAGGAGCGGCCCGAGGGCCAGCGCCCGGCATACCTTGCTGGTGGAGGCCTTGTATGTGGTCTTCAGTTTCTGAGAGAGCTGGCTGGTGCTGTGGCTGGCTGCAGAGACAGAGAAGGGACAGTTGGGACACCCGCACAGCCGCCAGGCGGGCCGACCTCAGCGGGGCATGCGGAGGCCAGCCAACTCCGGCTCTCATCCCGCACGGGAGGACGGTGGACGCCGAGGGTGTGTCTGTCTGTGCGGGTGAGGCAGCCACAGCACTGCGACAACGAGAGGCCGGGCTCCCCAGGGCCTCCTCCCCCCTCTCCGCCCGGGCCTGCCCAGGACTGCTGACAGCACCGAGCAAATCAGTCCACGGCCCAAGCTCAGTCCCACGTGCCCCCACCAGCGGGGAGCGGGGCAACCCCAGGGGGAAGGCCCTGGGGGAAAGGCTGGGGCAACCCCATCAAGCGCGCTCACCCTCACCTTTCGTTTTGAGCTGGCCCTTACTCAGTTCCGCACCGTCGATGGCTTGTCCTTCAGCCGCTAAGCGCTCATTCAGAGTCTCGATTTCCCTACGCACTGAGAATAAAAAAGTGGTTTTCAAAGACGTAAGACACGCACTTCCCGAACCTGAGTACAAAAGAACGTCAATACAGAAATACCTCTAATGCAGGTATGAACGTACCCCTGAGGCACAAGATCACAGTTCAGAGAGTTCTCAAAAAACTCAAGACGCCTGTCAGAGACTCGGAGCCCCCTCCCTCCGGCGCTCCCCCCCCGCCAGCGGGAGGACTGTGCTATCAGGGCTCTGGAGCATGGCTCCTGGACTGCACTCCAGCTCTTTGTACTTTACTCTCTACATGGACAGTTTTCTGAGACCGTCCAAAATTTAGTGAAATGTGTAGAGTCCAGCTAAGGACGCTGAAATTGGGGTAAACACACACCATGACAAAGCGTGGCCACTGCTGTGTGGCACCACAGAGCGCCAAGCAAGGATCCTATACAACAGACGAACTGAGGGACAGTGAGGAGACGAAACTAGGAAGCACAGAGCCACAGCACAAGAAGAGGAAGGACATTAGTCATCAAGAAGAGAATCAGCAGACACTCAGCTGAGGCTCTTCCTGGCACCAAGGCCTCCGGAACAGGCCTCCTCGTCCACCCACAGGGATGAGCAACACCCAGGGAAGGGACCTGGCCACAGACCCCAGCCACGGCAGCAACGCGGCAGGACCATGACGCGGCCACACATCCCCCCGCGCCAGGACCGTGCACCTGCCACTACGCCATGCCACCTCCCAGCACCGGGCACCCTCTCCTCAGGCTCCAGGGAGATGAAGGGGCTGGGTCAGGCCACGGAGAGGCTGAGGGCAAAGGCTCTGAGCTGATGATCCACCTGAGCGCTCTTGCTTGTTGCTCACAGGCCATGGGGGCGCCCATCAAAACCAGTCAGCATGAAACTGTGTAAACTCAAAGTACCTCTAGCATTAGTCGTTTGTGATCCTATAGTTGTTCTTTTTTTTTTTTTTTCAGTAGGCTCCATATGGAGAACAAGGCAGGGCTTGAACTCATGACCTTGAGGATCAAGACCTGAGCCAAGATCAAAAGTCGGACACTTAACTGACTGAGCCACCCAGGCACCCCCCTGTAATCCTATTCTTTTCTTCAACCAACTGCATGAATTCATAAGAAAGAAGGCCTTACATCACAACAGACACTCACTAACACTTAGTCATTACAACTGATACTTTAAAGAAAAAACCCTTAAAAATCAGAAGCAGTGGAGATCCCTGTGGCTCAGCATTTTGGCGTCTGCCTTCAGCCCAGAGCGTGATCCTGGAGTCCCGGGATCGAGTCCCACATCAGGGTCCCCGCAGGGAGCCTGCTTCTCCCTCTGCCTGTGTCTCTGCCTCTCTCTCGGTCTCTCTAATGAATAAATAAAATCTTAAAGGGAACCCTGGGTGGCGCAGCAGTTTGGCGCCTGCCTTTGGCCCAGGGCGCAATCCTGGAGACCCGGGATCGAATCCCACGTCGGGCTCCCGGTGTATGGAGCCTGCTTCTCCCTCTGCCTATGTCTCTGCCTCTCTCTCTCTCTGTGTGTGACTATCATAAATAAAAAAAATAAATTAAATTAAATTTAAAAAAAAATAAAATAAAATAAAATCTTAAAAAAAAATCAGAAGTAGTGCATGGTACCTAATTTTTACTTCATAAAAACTTTGAATAATCTATAAATTTCCAAGATGAACTTAAATAAGAATCCAAAAACAAAATACTAAATTGTCCAAGAGCAGAGTTTAAATGACATGGGATTACATTCTCTTCACTACAGATTCAATCACATCACTTAGTTCTAGAGCAAAAATTATTTTAAGGCAAATGCTGTTTACTACTACTCAATTCTGAAATCATGGCAGAAAGCATGAAGAGCAGATTATAGTTACATTTGCATAGTATAAATTTTATCAACACACACCTTAAAAAAATAATTAGCACTGTGAAGTCATGGAACAGTGAGTAGGTACAGGACAGGTTTGTTTCCTGATGTTCCACAGGGAAGCTTGAATGCACATGGCCTAAAGCTGACAAGTTAAAAGCGAACTACGTTTACAAAAATAATCACAAGAACTAAAAGCAAAAAATGCAGAAAATGTTTTCCTTTGCAGAATGGAATAGGTCGACAGGCAAGAGTAATAATGGTAATTATCTTTTTATATTGCTTCTTTTTCTTTTTTTGCAAGTTATCTCTACACCCAATGTAGGGCTCGAACTCACAACCCCAATATCAAGAGCCAACTGAGCTGGCCAGGAGCCCCTATGCTGCTTGATTCTTTAAGCAAAGGCAGGCATTCCTTCTAAAATAAAATTTCAAAAGAAAAAACACAGCTAATAAGCTAATTAAAAAATTCTTTTGATTTACCTTAATAAGTCAAACAGATAATACATTCAGGAAGTTCTCAATATACAGTGTACTTTATGTAGGAGTGGTTATGAGATGCATTTATTTTTCATAAAATTGCAATGTGGCCAAGTGAGGCTGGCACAATAGTACCCACCCCAAAAGTAACCTGTGGGCACATGGCTTCCATGCTGAAGGGGCCCTGCAGGTGCAATGAAGGGGAGGACTTCTGATGGGGAGGTCACCCTGCATGACCCGGTGACCCATCTCCCCTCCCGTCCGAGGAATGGCCCTGGGACGTGCTAGGAGGACTCCAGCTGCTGACGGCTGTGAAGGTGGAGTCAAAAGGCTTCGAGGCGAAGAGCGAGGCAGGCTCGAGAGGCCGGGAGTGCCAACAGGGAGACGGCAACCGCCATCCCCACACTGCAGGGAACTGCAACCCGCCACATGGCACATAAGCCGGAGATGGGCTCCCCCTCACAGCTCCAGGAGCACAGCACCCCGACACTGGGTTTTAGTGTGGTGACAGAGCCACGCCAGGCTTCTGACTACTGAGCCTGAAGTCACTAAGTCTGTGGGATTCTACGTCACTACACATGATACTGAGTAGAAGCAGACACAGTGGTGAAGGTCTACCCAAAAACTGTATAGAAGTTTATTAACACAGGAAATACTCACGTTCTAAGTTTTCAATATAAAGGTTTTCAAACTCTCTCTCTATTTGACCAAACAGTTCCAGAAGTGTACTGCGAACCGAGGAAGGCAGCTTAGAATCCTGAAAAGGAAGAATCTGTTCAAAATGAAGAGAAACTCTTCCAAAGTCAATTGTCATGTCTTAAATTCTCATTTCTTACACGTAAAATGTTTAAAGAACTTATTTTCACATCTCTACAGATAGACGAAACTACGATCCAGCAATATAAGTGGCCATCCAGCAGAGTACAGGATTCAAGAACAGGCACTTCTTCAAAGGAACATTTCTCCTTTAACACGGGAAGGAATAAGCCTACCTTATTCAAAAACTTTCAAATCTGTAGAGAAGGAAAACAGTTCCCATAAATGAAGTGTTATTATTCGCAGCCTTTAAGTTCTACCATGAACTATATGCTAATAGAAGTGCTTTCAGAGTTCTCTCAACTACTGTGCTTCAGGCAAAGTACTGGACACTTCCTGCAACTACACTGAATACCTACAAGAGTAGGGAAGAGGGAAACACGAGAAATCTGACCTGGAAGAGCAAAACGTGTAAGCTCGACAAAACCGGACTGTTCCGTGCCCAGCAGCACCACGCTCTGCATGCCTGCCTCTCCACGTGTCTGTACACCTGCAGCTGCGTCTACACTCACAGGAAGCCCGTGAGCAGAAGCTACATCTCTGCCAAACTTCTAGGTACAAAAGGGTGGGCGGTGTCCTCGGCACCACCTGAGCTCACACGCACGTACTTCCTGGACGCTGCCGGAGATGGGGAGACGGGAGAGTGCACACACTGCTCCCATCTCCAGAGGGCAAGGCCTGGGCCCTCCTTTGTGTGCCTTCCACACTTACGAGTATTTTCAAGTAGAATTTAATGAATTGCAAATAAAAAGACATACAATGTGTATTCAACTTCCTGATTAAGTTCCAAGAAGACAAAAATTTGAAGCAAAATGACCTCTAATGGCCTATGTATTTCAGCAATGTTTTAAAATCACATGATGTACAAGTAAATTTGACAAACTAGTTAAAACTGTTTATGAAGTCACATGTTCAAAACCTAAAACCTACCAGAATGGTAACACAGCCTCCATCAGCACCCCTCTAAAGGGCCAACGAAAAATATGAAAAGAAAGAGAGAGAACTTGAAGGAACAGTGAAAAGTAAAACAGACCATCACCGTGAACACTTACCGCGCTCCCCACCTTGCCTCGGGGCCTTTGCATATTCCGTTCCCTCTCTGCACCACGCTCCTCCTGCACCCTCGTCCAGAAGTCTCTCTCACCAGGGCACCCGGAGAGAAGCCTGTCTGCACCCTACAGCAAGGCCAAATCTCCTCAGTGTATTAATTCCTACTCACCTATGCCCACAGTGTTTTAGATCCTGTTAGTCAATAACTGAACTATGACATTCATCAAGCAGTAAATGCAGACGGTCATCGTAACCGGAGACAGAACTGGGATGTCCACACAAACCTCACCTGACAATGAGGAAGCGGGATGCGCAGGGAGACGAGACCTGTTCCAAGAGGCACGTGGAGCCACGTGAGCGCACTCCGGGCCAGGCTGCTGGGGCCGTCCCATTGCACAGACCCTACGGAGAAGTGCTGAGCTCTGGGTACCACTTCAGGAAAAAAACTCAGGACACAAAAGCCAGTGACTCGGCAAAGCTTTTAAACCCACACCTGATCCCATCAGCACATCCTGGATGCAGGAGGCCCGTGTGCACACCGTGCACAGATTCAGCAGCACTCTGCAGCCACGGGCTTTGCGCCCCCGCACTGAGCATGCACATCTGTGAACCTAGGAAGCGTGAACCACCACCACGGCTCATTCACACTATCTTCATGTGGGAGGGCACCGCTCCACAACAAATGACCGTAACCTTGTCTAGAAAGCACTGGGCTGCTGTTTAACTCGAATCCACTGGTCATCTCAGACCCCTCCACCTCACCTACCATGCCAACTGCTGGTAACAGATACCACCGCTACTGTCTTCCTGCTGAGCCAGACAGAGCACCTCACCTCAGCCATCCAGGGAACTCCTCAACAAGGCGGCCCCGTCGAGGGAATGCCAACGACACAAAGACGAGGACCCTCTGAGCGGCGTGGTAGCCAGGCTGCTCAGCTTGCAGGACTCTACATGACCTCCACGAGGGTTACCCTGACGCCATCACCCACTGTCTTACATCACAATGGAGGAGGGGCATTCACAAGGCCATGCAAAGACACATTAACCTCAAATGGCAGCTAACTCCAGAAGATGCTAGCAAAGGAGGGTGCAGGACTTTCACCACTAGAAACCTAAATAAACCTAACAAAAAAAGTATCCTAGGCTATTTACCTGCACTGTCCAATATGGTGGCCAGCAGCCACATGTGGCTATTTAAATGTAAACATAAATTACAATCTTAAAAATCCCTCAGTCACACTAGCCACATGTGTCTCTGTGTAGGTGTTATATCTGATAGTTGTTTTAATGGGTTATTAAGGGAAGAGGGGATTGTTTTGTTTTGGTAACCCACTCTTTTTCTCTACTTTGGAGACCTCTATGTATTTGGCTATTTCTAGAACATCACAATCACCACAAACTCACCTGTCCTTCCAACATTTCTCTGGGCAGAGCTGTCCTCTCTTGCTCGGAGCTGTTAGTTCTTCGTATGGAAAGGCTGTGAGATTTGCGTTTCTGTTTTGCTTGGCGAGCAGCAGAGCAAGTCCCGCTTTCTGTGGGCATTACTTCTAGAAGGTGATGTCCTGCTCCCTCCTGCAATAAGCTAAACAACAGGAAAACAAGTACTTGATTTCGGATATGGCAAACTAAAATGAAGGAAAAAATGGTCAACAATTCGTACTTTAAATTCCAATCGCCTTTACTGTGGCTGTATTTACTATGTCATTTAGAATGTGACAAATTAATGTTTGGTAAGACAGAGGGACTGGGTGGCTCAGTGGTTGAGCACCTGCCTCCGGCCCAGGGCGTGATCCTGGGATTCCCAGGACTGAGTCCCGCACTGGGCTCTCAGCAGGCAGCCTGCTTCTCCCTCTGCCTGTGTCTCCACCTCTATCTTCCATAAATAAGTAAATAAGTAAATAAATAAATATTTTTAAAAATACATCTTTGTTAAGAAAGAGACCACAGCCTTTGTCAAAGAAGTCATTTTTTATTAAATTTTGTTAACAAGTTTTGAAAAAATCAACTAGCATAGAAGGGCTTAAAATACAGTTTTCCGTTAACTAACCTTCCCAGCCTTGGCCTCCTCCCCAGAGAGAACAGAGTCTAATCACATGTCCTAGCCTCACAGCAATGCTGTCCAAGAGAAATGCAACACAAGCCACACACACAACGGCAAATTTTCTAGTAGCCACATTAAAAAAAAAAAAAAGTAGAAACAAGTGAAATCACTTTTAATGATTTATTTAGTCCACTGTGCTCAAATACTCTAGGCAATGTGAAAAACACAAACCACCAAAATATTCTCCAAAGAACTCTAATCTCTTCTAGTCCCATCATCGATGCAGGAGGATCCTGTTCTCCAATCTTATTTGCTACGTTCACTATGCTGAATTTCAGCGGCCCGGACAGGCAGAGTACCTTGCCACGGTCTTCACGTGTGGCACGCACATTCCCCTGGGGGCTGCTCATACTCCACATCTTTCTGTGCACTTATCTGCAGTCTAAATACCCTTCACGGTAAAATGTCTCCCCTCATCTTTTGCCCATTTTCTAATAGGACATTGGGTTTTTACTATCTAGATTTGACAGTTCTCCATTTTTCCCTCATGAATTACATGTCAGGTGTGCGGGTTGCCAAGTTTCCCCTGGTATGTAACTTGTCTTTTATCCTAAAGGGGTTTTTCCCAAAGCAAAACTTTTAAATTTTGATGAAATCCCACTGATCAATTATCTTTCTCCTATGGATCATACTTCTAGAGTCATGTCTAAGAACTTTTTATCAATCCTAGCTCCTAAAAAATTGTTTTCTTCTTTAAATTTTAGTACACGATATTTAAATTTACAAGCTCCTCTGGGTTCATATTTGCAACAAGCTGTGAAGTTTAGATCGAAGAATATCTTTCTTTTGGGTTTTCTTATTTCATTCTTTGCTGATAATATCCAGTTATTCTAGCACATGTTAAAAACTATCCACCCTACAATGTGTTGAGAAACTTTGGCATCTTGATCAAAAATCAATTGGCTATAGTTACGTGAGATTATTTCTCAGTTCTCTATTCTGTTCACCTGATCTATGTATCTATTTCTCTACAAACAACACAGTACTTTTCAAGCTTTATTTAGTCTCTACACTCAATATGGGGCTCGAACTCACCACCCCAAGATCCAGAGCCAGAGGCTCTTCCTACTGAGCCAGCCAGGCACCCCTGCCATTCATAGTCCCAATGACTGTGCTATCTTGAAATCATTTAGTGATTCCTATCACTTAAATCTTTTTCAAAATTGTGTTAGCTCTTCTAGTTCCTTTGCCTTTCCATATAAATTTGGAATAATCTTTCCCAAAGCTACAAAAATCTTCATGGAATTTTAACAGGAATTGTTTAGTCTATTCAATTTGGAGAGAAGTGGCATCTTTATCATGTTGAGCCTTCCGATCTATGCATACGGTATATGACTCATTTATTGAGATCATCTTTTCTTCCCTCAGTTTTGTAAATTTCCACAAAGGAGTCCTACATATGTCTTTTCAAATTTATACTCAAGTCTGAATTTTTATTTTCTGAATAATTTTAAATAAAACTGTTTTTTTTTTAATTTTTTATTTATTTATGACAGTCACAGAGAGAGAGATAGAGAGAGAGAGAGAGAGAGGCAGAGATACAGGCAGAGGGAGAAGCAGGCTCCATGCACTGGGAGCCTGACGTGGGATTCGATCCCAGGTCTCCAGGATCGCGCCCCGGGCCAAAGACAGGCGCCAAACCACTGCGCCACCCAGGGATCCCTAAAACTGTATTTTTAATTCCATTTCAGGTTAATTGGTAGTATCCTATTTTGTTGAACTCCTTAGTTCTAGGAGATTTCTTATAGATACTTTGGCATTTTTTTAAGTAGACTATTATGTCATCTGAAAAAAAGGACAGTTTTTCTTCCTTTCTAATCCTTATTGATCTGGCTAGAAATTCCAGTTCTATGTTGTAAATAGTGACAACACTCTTATTTTGTTTTGACCTCAAGGAAAAAAAAAAAAAACCTGTTTTTGACCATTAAGTATGATACTAGCTGTATGTTAACTGTAGATTCGGTCTACTGAGATGAGAAGGTTCCCCTCCGGAGTCTCACAATTACATGCTGAATTTTGCCATGTTTTTTTGTGTGTGTGCATCACTTAATGGTAAGGCTTTTCTTTAGCCTCTTAACAGATCAATTACACTGATGATTTTCAAATGCTAATCCAAATTTGCACGCACAGAATAAATGCCACTCGTTCCTAATATATAAGTCAATCTCCGTTCTTTTTTTTTCTTCTTCCTTCTTCCTATGGGTTATTTAAACATTTTTTAGAATTTCATTTTAATTTATGGTATAGTTTCTGAGTTTACCTCTTCTGTATGACTTTCTTCAGTGATTGCTCTAGGTATATTTTCACAACTATCACAGGCTACTGATGATCAACATTTTACCAGTTCATGGTAACATACAGAAACCTTTCCTTCCCATCCCCTTACACTCCCCCACTTGCGACAGTCAAGTGAAACACCACCTCCACCGAGAACATCAAGAGCTATGCTTCAACCTTCAAATATGAAAGGAGCGTCTCCTGAATTTACCAGTGTTTGCTCTTTCCATTGTTTGTTCTTCCTTCCTGGTGTCCCCACATTGCTTTACGTCATTTCCGTTCTGTTCAGAGAACTTCCTCTAGTTATTATCTTAGGGTAGGTCTGCTGGTGACAGATCACATGAAAGATGTTTTCACTTGATCCAGAATTCTGAGTTGACAGTTCTTTTCCTTCAGCACTTGAAAAATATGCCACTTCCTTACAGCGTCTATGGCCACTGATGAGAAATCTACTCCAATTGTTTTCCCACTACTGGTAAACTTACATCTCTCTCACTGCTTTTTGTCTTTAAATCTCAGAAGCTTGAATTCAATGGGTCTTAGAAAGGATTTGAGTTTATCTTATCTGGGTTTCACTAAGTTTGATTCAATAGGTTTATGACTTGCTAAATTTAGGAAATATTCAGCCAGTATTTCTTCAAATACGTTTTCAGCCCCACTGTCTTTCTCCTCTTTCTGGGATCATAACAAGAATGATAGGTCTTGGGGATCCCTGGGTGGCGCAGCGGTTTGGCGCCTGCCTTTGGCCCAGGGCGCGATCCTGGAGACCCGGGATCAAGTCCCACATCGGGCTCCCGGTGCATGGAGCCTGCTTCTCCCTCTGCCTGTGTCTCTGCCTCTCTCTCTCTCTGTGACTATAAGAAAGAAAAGAAAGAAAAGAAAAGAAAAGAAAAGAAAGAAAGAAAAGAAGAAAAGAAAGAAAAGAAAGAAAGAAAGAAAGAAAAGAAAGAAAAAAGAAGAAAGAAAGAAAGAAAGAAAGAAAGAAAGAAAGAAAGAAAGAAAGAAAGGTCTTTTGTCAAAGTTCCACCGGTCCCTGACGTTCTGTTCACTTTCTTCCAGTTATTTGCTCTCTGTCGTTCAAACTGGGCAGTTTCTATCTCTTTAATCTTTCCTCTGTCTTCTCCTTTCTGCTGTTCAGCCATTACTGGGTTTTTTCCTTCAATTACATTTTTCAGTTCTAAATTTTCATTTGTTTATTTATATCCTGTGTTTTCTTCCTCAGATTTTGTTTTTCCATGGGTTCCAAGCATCACTAACTACACACTGACACATCTTCATGACACATCTTTCCTCTGTCTTCTCCTTTCTGCTGTTCAGCCATTACTGGGTTTTTTCCTTCAATTACATTTTTCAGTTCTAAATTTTCATTTGTTTATTTATATCCTGTGTTTTCTTCCTCAGATTTTGTTTTTCCATGGGTTCCAAGCATCACTAACTACACACTGACACATCTTCATGACGGCTGTCTTAAAATTCCTGTCCAATCATACTAACATCTGCGACATCTCTGTGTTACTGTCAGTTGTCGTTTCTTATTCAGGTTGAGATTTTCCCAGTTCTTCCTATGACACGTAATTCTCAACTGCAGCCTCAACATTTTGGATTTCATATTATCAGACTTGGAATCTGATTTAAATCTCCTAATATAGCAGGCCACAGAAATTTCTTATATCAGCCAGGTGTCTGCAAAGGTGGAGATGCAAGGCAGAGTTCTCCACTCGGCCTCCGCTGACCCTGGGTGGAGCTACTCCTCGAAGTACTGGGTTCCCTGAGAGTCCGACCTCTCCCTTGCCTTCTACTCATACCACCCTGTCTGCAAGAGAGGCCCTTGTTACAGTACTCCATGTGGCCTTGTTACCACCAAGCAGTGGTAACATTCCTGAATCTCTACTAGTTTTCCCCTAAACCACCCCAGCAGGCAGAGCATGTTCCTATCACCCAACACAGGTGAAAACGCCACTGGCTGCTCACCCAGCCTTCTCTGATACCACTGTCAAAGGTAAAAGTCTAGATTCTCCATCGAGCCGTAGACAAGAGTGAGAGTAGGCGCTGCAGTGTTTTCCAAAAGTGTTGTCTCTGGGGCTGTCACTCTCCTGGTCTTTTGCCCGGAGTAGGCTTTCCTGGAGGCTTTTGGTCTGAGCCCTTCAGTGTTGCTGGGTTGCTACATCTTCAGGCCCACGTCTGAGACATACGAGGAGAAAAGA